CCTCGGAACTCATTTCACTCTATTAGCAGGTCATTCTGTCAGTTCTACCTGCAAACTGTATATACTGAGTCTCATCGCTCCTCATCAGCGATGTTTCCAATTCTAGTCCAGGCCCACTCACCTGGCCCACTGCCACAGATCCCTAATGAGCATTCCAGCCTGCTTTGGGCACTCTTGTCTTTTACCCAGCAGCAAGAGCAGCATATTCTAAAACCTAAATCAGATCCTGTTGCTCTCCTGCTCTAAACCCTCCTATAGCTCCCCATTTACATTGAGGATAAATTCTACACTCCTTCCCACCAGTGACGCACTCCTTATGTGACAATCCATCCTACTTCCATCTTCAAATAGTGCAAACACACTTGTGAGTCAAACCATCCCCAGAGCTTAGAGACCTGTGGGATGTCAGGATTCATTCATTCACAAGCTCATTCTAGGATCAGAGTCTTAGAATTTAATGTCCCTCCTGCTTGAGTTGCTCTTTGCCCACATCTTCAGAATTGCTTCCTTCCCAGGATTCTCCCCTCCTCAGAGAACTCACTCCCCCAAGGGGCCATTCAAGAAATTCTGACATTATCCTACTTTATTTTCTACATAGTTCTTACTGCTTCTGGAAACTTCCCTCCTGACTTATTCTCTATATTCCCCACTACAGCCTATTCTCTATGAGGAAAGGAACTTCACTATGTGCACTACTGAACCCTCAGGTTTAGAAGAGTGCTTGACACATATAAGGAACTCAAGTCCTTTTTGAGTATCTGAGCAAAGTGGCAGGGTCAGTGCTGAATTCATAGGAGATGTCACTCCTTCCTTTCACAGCTCAACTCCTGGATTCCTCTGAGCCCAGATTAGGGGCATGGGGATAGAGCACACGCCTGTAATCTCAGCAATTTGGGAGACCGAGGCAGCAGGATCTCAAGTTTAAGGCCAGAATCAGCAACTTAGCGAGGCTATAAACGACATAGCAAGACCCTGTCTCAAAAAAAAAAAAAAAAAAAAAAAAAAGGACCGGGATGAGTGATTAAACGTCCCTTGGTTCAATGTTCAATTACCAATTCTAAAGAAAGAAAAGCAAAGAAAGCAAGCCTCATAATCAGGTACTTAAAAATAAAAAATAGTAGGATTTTTGAACTGGAAGAGGCTTTGACAAATAATCTCCCCAGTTGTTTTCAAACTTTCTCATCTCAACACATCTACAATCACCATGGCCACTGGCAGCTGTAGCTTTCTATGGCCAGCATCTCAACTGGCTTCACGTGAGGGTGGCATGAGCTCTGTCCATCTCTTGGTGTTTATTGACATTTAAGCCACACTGTGGAGAAATTAAAGGACAGTACCAGTCACAGGAATGAAAAGCTGACTAAAACATATTATTCTTGATTATATTGATTATTTCTTATATATTGATGTCTTAGACTGTTGTTACTGTAATAAAACATCTGTGACTTAAAAAAAAAAGACAGTACTTCTATTCAATAAATTTTGCGAATGAACTACATCATAGACTTTGGCTGAGGAATCTAAATTTTGATTGGCTTTTTATGTGGGTCAGTTGCCCATGACTTACCCTAAAAATACTGCTGAGCTACTGAAGTATAAATATATCATTTTTAAAGAGGATTAAAAATCCACAAAGAGAACTGATAGCTTGAAGAGAATAACAATAGTAAGGATTTAAGGAGGGCAGGGTTAGGAATTGAGAAAGGGATTTGCAAAGAACCCTGGGGATTGCAGGCAGTCAGCCATAAGCCTGGTGCAGGAACAAAGGTGTATTTCAAAACCACAGACCACTGTCTACTGAGCCCCAGTCAGGCCTGGCCCTAAGCCCTAATGTCAGCCACCTCCATGCCACTGTCCTGGGGGCCCAGTAGGACCTGCCTTGCTGAAGCCCAAACTCTCATGCTGCCCCTTCACATTCGGGCCCTGTGCCAGCAGCAGGGGACAAATTGTGTATTCTGCTTCTTGCCTTTTTGCACATTTAACTTTTATCCCTTAGTTCTTTCCCCTAGTCAGTCTCTTTACTTCTAAGCTTAGAGGAAATGAGTATAGTTTGCTAATGTGAAAAGGAATCAAACTTGGGATTTAGGTTTTAGTACTCTGCATTCATAGTGGCTGGGGAAGCTAAGGCAGGAGGATTGCAAGTTCAAATTCAGCCTCAGCAACTAAGTTGGGGATGTGGCTCAGGGGTTAAGCACTCTTGGGTTCAATCCCAGGTACTCCCAACCCCTGCACAAAATATCCTGCATTTAACACATTGACACTTAAGTTTCTCAAAGCCCCTTTAAGTAGACTCTAGGGTTGTCCCTGTGACTAACCTGAGCTTAAATTAATTTCACCAATTTTTTGGCCTGTTTTATCCTTCCACTGAAAGGGCAACTGAGTGGGCAAGTCAGAACTCTCCAAGGTTGTTTTTTTCTTTTTACCTCCTGTAAAGGAAGATAATAATAGGAATGACTTTATTGGGTTGCTAATGAGTTATCAGATAGTAAATGAATACCCACATGAAGTTCAGCATGATATATGGTGTCTATAATAAGCATGTGACGGTTTCCATCTAAACTTCACAGCCATACTCTAAGGTAAGTACTGTCCCTTCCTGGGTGACAATCCAAGGGCCTTTCCAGCTGGTTCTTCAACAATGCAGCACAGGAACATCTAAGGCATCATCACAGCAGTGCTGCATCTAGTAACAATGATTATTTATACAATGTCTATTATCTGCCCAGCACTGCACAACATGCATTATCAGTTATCTGATTTAATACTCCAATCTTGATAAGTAGGTACTAGTTCTCACATTTTACTAATTAGTAAATTGAGGCTCTGACAGGGTTAAATACCTTGCCTGAGCTTACAGAAGTTTGTGAGTCTGAACTCTTTATCTGATAGGCCTGTTTGATTCCAAAGTCCACATTTTCTCTACTCTGCTACTCAATAATAGTGAAATAAATTTAATTTAAAGCAGGAAAGGAATGCTTGTTGGCAAGTAGAAAGGTTAGGGGACTAGTGGTTTTAAAATAACTGTTTTATATATTCATCTTTGAAAAAACCTGAAACTTGGCACTGAACTACTTTTGTTTAATAGTTATATCTGTAACTTTGAACAGAGCAGAAAATAATTATATTTGATATGAAGAAACATGCTTTACATGAGAGAAAGCAATAATGAACTTAGGGCTACACCTTAATGAAAAATAAATCTTACTTTCTACCTGCCTTCTGGTATTCTACCATCAGATCCACCTATCTCATGAAACCATGGAAAGTGAGACCTGGGTATTGCTTCTAATTTTCAGAATATGCATTTTACTCAGGACCAAATTTAAAACAAACATCCCCCCCCCCCCCAAACTCTTCTTCAGCCTATCAGGATAAGAAATATCTTGTTTATACCAAAGAGACTTTGAATATGCCAAATACTTTGTTACAAAAGAAATATTGCTAATTTCTGCTACATCTGTAGTTAATTGAATATTTACCTTAAAATAAGGATTTAACATAAAAGTTGAAGTGCTAGGATAAGCAACCTGGTTTACAGCATAATTAGTATGAAAACATCTAGAAATGGACATAGCCTTTGAAGGAGTCCTTTCTCATAGAGTCATTGTTGGAGGTGAGCACAATTATAAGTGACTTACATTGCATATGTGAGTGTGTATATGTGTATACATGCCAAAAAAAAAAAAAAACTTACATGTGGACCTATACTTATTTTTAAAGACCTGCCTTTTAAAATAAAAGTGTGTCACAAATTGCTGCTTTGCTAGATGCAGTCATTATCATATTGCTTCTGTCTGATTGACTAGTTAATTCTGAGGCTTATAACTGGGATGAGTATGCTTTACACATTTGTGAATGACAGCCAATAACTGAGCTAAGGAGGTCATGGGGCACAGGCTATAGTTCTTTTCATGTTAATCACAATAAAGTAAGTCTGACACATAAGTAGGATGTATTCAAAACACTGATACCTGATAGCAGATCAGTTTAAAGGGAAAAAAACTGAGAAGTCATAATTACCCCAAAGATGTGAAAGAAACCACAGACACAGACCTGATTCTGCTGTAAAAAAGAAACAAAGCACCCTCCTGAGGTTGCCATACCAACTGTTCAGTCCATTGTACTCTTGCATCTTTCAGGGTTTTAATTTCATGGAAAAGTAGACATCTCCAAATAAAGCAAATGAAAGCTACCAAAAGGGCTTCGTACTGGGGACGAAATTAAGGAAAAATATTTATCTGGGCCTTCAATGTTTAAAAGACATTAATTCTATTCAATTACTGGTAATTACTACAGTAGTGAGTGCAAAGTTTAACAAATAAAAGCTTACTGAATGAATCACAGGATGAATGAAATGACACACATAGTAATATCTTGAGAGCATAAGCTCCACTGTATGAACCTTGGAAGCAACCCTGTAGGTGTTTGGGTTATGAGAGTTTAGTGGGTGTCATAAATGTGCTTCATCTACTGCAGGTATATCCACATTCAAAAATGTAATGTTTAAATAAGGTCAATCTGTTGGTCATCACCGCCAAGGCAGCATATGCTAGCCTGCACGAAGGTAAAGATTAAAATCTTTAACTGCTCAGTGTCAAATTAACCAAAGGTTCTCTTTTAAGGAAATTTAAAATTAAAAAAGTGTGTGAAAAAAACCACTCATTTTCCAATATGTGAAATACTATAAATTAAAATCAGTAGAAACTAATAATAGAACAATAGCAGAACAAAATATAAAATTTGACTCTTGGCCCAGAGTATCCAAGTAGTTCGCTTGTACTTTTTATTTTTTGTGGTACTGGGGATAGAACCCAGGGGAATCTCTAACCGAATCACATTTCTAGCTCTTTTCTTATTTTGAGATAGGCTTTCACTGAGTTGTTGTGGCTGGCTTTGAACTTGCTTCTGCTTCAGCCTCCCAAGCAGCTGGGATTATAAATGTGCACCACCATGGCTAGCTGCTCAAGTTTTTAAAACTGGAACGGAAACAATGACATGGATAAAAAAGAACAAAATGTCTTTTACTCCATTTCAGCCTGTCATTAAGTTTCCATTCCCTGTTTTCAACTGAACTGGGCAAGAGGACTCAACAGAGCAGTGAGGAGGACTCCAGACTGCCTCAGCTGCAAGCACTCTCCACTCAAACACACACATCTGGCCCACTCTTCTTTCAAGTCCAAAGTGGCTCCCTGAAGCTTCATGACTTGCTTTCTTCTTTTTCCTCTGGTACTTGTTTCCAGATTGGCTCCTTGATGTGATCTGGTAATTGTTCTAACCGTGTCTAAAAACAGAAACAAAACTATTTAAATGATCTTTGCTACAAAGTGAATTTGTTAATTTTTTTTGTTAATCCCCTTTGCCTTTTTGTAGGAGTCTAAAATGGGGAGAAGGCAACTTAATATATGTAAGGCATTTTGTTTTATATATATATATATATATATATATATATATATATATATATATATATATATATATATAAAATTTATTTGATCCTCAGTGATCTCCAGGGATGGCTACACAATGTGGTCACCAAGTCCAGACAACTAGTAGGGAGGAAGACTTCAGAGATGGCTCAGTGAGGATGTGGGGGGATTCTGAGATTGCATAGGAATGGGTGAACCCCGAGCCATTGTGCACACATAGCTTCCAGTGCGACAGGTCTTCCCCTCCACCACAGGGGCCAAGACCAGGCTGTGATATACCAGGCTGATACAACACAGGTATCCCCCAAAGAGGTAGAAATTCAAGTCCTACCTTTGTTATTTCCATGGCAACTCCTTCAGGTAAGTTTCGCTGAATATATTCCAAGTAGACATCTGCTGTGCATCCAGTTAGATGCTCTAACTAAAATATCAGACATAAAAACAGTTCATGCTTTGCTGTTAAAGCAGAAATCTTAAGTTTTTTTTTTGTTGTTGTTTTTTGGTAAAAGTGAAGCCTGGTTTTCCCCTAAGAATCTTTTTTTTTTTTTTAATGATGAAAGGGAATAGTATAAAGACCAATCCAAATAATTTAATAATTCCATTTTTTTTTTAAAGAGAGAGAGAGAGAGAGAATTTTTTAATATTTATTTTTTATTTTTCGGCGTACACAACATCTTTGTATGTGGTGCTGAGGATCGAACCCGGGCCGCACACATGCCAGGCGAGCACACTACCACTTGAGCCACATCCCCAGCCCTCCCCTAAGAATCTTTAACAGACTAAAAAAAGAAAAAAAAAGAAAGTACATCCTTTGGCTGAACTAGATATGGGGCCCTAAAGTCTGCTTCTTACCAGATGCCACCTTAAAAGCCAGGGGTCCACAAAACACCAAAACAAACCAAAAAGAAACAAGACTAGATTACCAGATAAAGTTAGTTTATGATTTTTATTATGCTCTACAGCAAAATGATTCTGCTGACATAGATAAAATTTTGAGTCTTTCTTTATTCTTTAGGGCTGGGGGTATAGCTCAGTGGTAGAGGGTTTGCCTAGCATATATGAGGCCATAGGTTTGACTCCCGATATCACAAAAGAAGAAAAACAAAAGGATTACTTAGACCTTTTTCCTTGAAGAGTAGGAACCATTTCTTAACATATTTGTGTACCATGCCCCCCAGCTTTTTAAAAACAACTTTTTGGTAGTTGTAGATGGACACGATGCCTTTATTTTATTTGTTTATTTTTATGTGATGCTGAGAATCGAACCCAGTGCCTTATGCATGCTAGGCAAGTGCTCTGCCACTGAGCCTTTTTTGCCATACTGGGGATTGAACCCAGAGCCTCACACGTTAGGCAAGCATTCAAGCACCCTACCACTAAGCTGCATCCACAGCCCCCCCCCCCCTTTTTTTTTGAGACAGGGTCTCACTAAGTTGCCAGAGCTAGTTTTGAACTTAAGACCTTCCTTCCTCAGTCTGCCTGTACTACCTTGCCTTGCTAACATATTTGTACCCTTAAATGTACTGTGCTTTCATGTAAAACACATATGCTTTTTTAAAAATGACACTTATTAATCATTCATTGTGTGATAGAAGTATTCTAAGTGCTTTACCCAAATATGTCATTTAATCCTCATGCTAATTTTATGAGCTGGGTTCATTATTATTTTCATTTTATAGATGATGCACACATCACACAGCTAGTAAGCACCAGAACTTGAACTTTTTAATACTGTCAGTCTGACTCCAGAACTCACAGCTTCCTTTAATAATAAAACTATACTAGCCCTAGTGAACACATAAATGAATGATAAATTGAAAGAAAAACCTAATGCTGTATATCATCATCAGGGAAAAATCCCATTAGATTGTGGAAATAATTATAAGTTGTATAAAAACTAGGATTTTGAAGCATGGAGCAAAATTATTCCAGTGCTATCTGATTATATAAAAATTAGCTGGCATAAAAAGAAAAAAAAAACTGGAGAGAAAAAAATTAGCATAATCTGCATTTATGCATTAGAGTATTTACTACTATAAAGGATGGCTTGGAGTTTGGTTTTTCTATTATGTGGCTTCCACGAACACCAAAAAAGACATTTGCCTTCTACAACTAAAAGGTAGAGCTGGCTAAAAGGAAGTCATGGTTAAAGGAAACTTATGATACATACTATTTTAAATTCTGGATATTTAAAAAATGCCTCAATGGGTGAAATAAACTCACCTCTAAACATCTGTAAAGTGTTCTCATTTCATACTGAACTCTGTGCTTTTTGAAAATATGCACTGATTTGAGAAGAGTAAATCGCTCTATTTTCCTTGGAGGTTCGTGTCTGAAATTAACGGACAAAATAATAAACTTAAGCTAAATGACATTAAAACTCATGTCACTGATACCAAATCATGATTCCACAATTTTGTAGGTCAGGCTCAAACTCAATTATAGGTATTTACTAACTTCATTTGTCAGACTGTCATCTTTAACAACTACTGTTACAAAGCTCAGGCCAAAACAAACACCACAGATAACAATGGGAAGCTTTTCCCATAGACTCAAAAAAAAGCATTGCAAACAAGTTGTGAACACATTCATGCACTCATGGTTTCTGTTTTTATGCCTATTGAGTCCCTTATTGACCAAATGCATAACCTGTGAAGAGCACAACAGTGTGGTGAATACAGTGGTCATGTCTGCTGTGTGTTGTTTGAGGAAAACAGATTATGTTGATAACCACAAAATTGTATTTTGTTTTGGGAGAAAGTCTGGCCTTCTGTTTCTGTTTGTCAGCCTGGGATAGCCCCAAGTAAGTCCTGTTCAACAAAGAAGGAGCAGGGGACAAGACAAAGGAAGCAGTTCTTCTTTACCCTGGAGTGACTCCAAAGCCATATGAAGCTCCCTACACATGCATGTACTCCTGGGTGAATGGTGTTCCTTAGGGCAGAGTGGAAACAATGGATGCATCAGACAAAAAGATCATCACATCTAAAGGGTCTGAAAGGCGAGTTTGTTCACCTACTCTACCTCCCTGCTTCATGGAGATTCATGGACTTCTTGGGTCTCTTAATGTCAGTGAGATTTCTTTTATTCTCCTGTTTACTAATTCCAGTATTTAAAAGTTCAGTAGACAGAAAGGGATGATCCTGTTTTGGATAACATGACAAACCTAAACAACCCATCATGATTTGTACCCCATTTTATGAGCTCAGACCGATCTGGGATCAGCACCAGTTTCCTGGTTATTATACTACAGCAGCTACCAGATCAGATTAGGAAAAGTTTTACTTACACTTTAATAGAGATACCAAGTTCTTTAGCAGCAAGCACCGCAAAATATTCGTAACTGTCCAATACGGCCTTATCGTGGCCTTTTACTAAAATTGACAGACGTTTATATAATGTGTCTGGTTCATCAGAAATGGTTATCTAAAATGAAAAAGAAAAGTTTCAAGGGCTGGGAATACAGCTTAGTTGGTAGAGTGTTTGCCTCGCACGCACAAGGCACTGGGTTCAACCCCCAGCATTGAAAAAAAAAAAAAAAAAAAAAAATTTCAGTTGTGTTTCCTCTCATATTTACAACTAGAAAACTTAACATTTTATCCTTGACAAAAGAACTTTAGTTTACTAAAAAAATGGGAAGAAAAATGCTGAGGAACATCTTAACACTGTTATTTCACTACCTACATGCTAGCACATTTAGATTTGCACAATGACCCTCGGAAGTTGTTAAAAGACAGTTTGAATCAAAAGAACTTTCAAGGCAACCTACAAAATCATTAGCAGGACCTGCCAACTTAATAATTATTGAGCCCAATATTCACATTAACAATTTGTTATGATCTTTCTAGACATTTGTCCCATATGTAGTCATTTTATCCATATAAATGCACACCAAAATGGAACCGAGTTATATACAATAAGAAATAATCTCAGGGTCTGTTAACAAAAATAATCTTGTCAAAAGATCTGGATTGAGAATTACACTCTAGGGCTGGAGATATGGCTCAAGTGGTAGTGCGCTCGCCTGGCATACGTGCGGCCCGGGTTCGATCCTCAGCACCACATACAAACAAAGATGTAGTGTCCGCTGAAAACTAAAAAATAAATATTAAAAAAAAATTCTCTCTTTAAAAAAAAAAAAAAAAGAAATTAAAAAAAAAAAGAGAGAGAGAATTACACTCTATTTGTAGTTGAAGGACAATGGGCAAACCTTATTTCACTGCCCCTTAGTTTTCTCATATATAAAACACAGTAATAAGAGACCTTGCTATAGCTCATAGCAAGGAAAAACTAAGAAAACACAAATTAAAGTGCTTATAAATTGTTAAACATTGTTATACGAACTGAAGCTACTTCTATTCATTTTTTTAATTAGGTTTTTTTTCATGTATGCTTTGCCTGCTTTAATATATATATTACTCATGTCTAATTAAAATGTTATGACACTGACTGTACCTATAACTTATCTCTCTTCCACTCTAATACCCAAAGACCTTAGAAATAATGGGTTTGATATTTCTGACTGTCTTCCAAGAGGTGAATTATCTGTATTTCATTCACCTGTTAAACCAGTAAATTATATTACTAATCCTATGATTCAGGGTTAGATTACTTCATCTCTAAAAAGATCTACTTACTAACCAGGAAGCTAGACATTTACTCTCAATTACTCCAAATGGAGTTGTTGAAAAAACAGGATATACTGATATTCTAAAGTTGGAGGACAATGTGGAAGTGCAAATATAGTCCAAAGATGTGTTCTGATTGATTCTTGTAGGGTTTTATTTTTAAATATTAGTTTTTGCAGTGCTGAGGATAAAACACAGGGCCTTGTGCACACTAGAGTTCTACAACTGAACTACAGTTCTACAACTGGCAAGAGTTCTACCACTGAATTATAGCCCTTGTAGGGTTTTAATTTGTTATGAATGTTAAAAATCAGGAGATTTCTTATTAAAATCTGGATATTAGTTTAGGTTGGGAGATTTGGTGATTAGGCATCAGTAAGTCTGATTTCTGATATGGTCACTGTGGCTAGAGTAAGAAGTACAAGGACAGTATGCCACTGTGCCCACATTGCCACCTCTTCTTCCAAGCCTGGCCCCTGCAGTCATCCGAGTTGGAGACCATCGTTTAAATGTACTATCACATGGGGCTGGGATTGTGGCTTAGCGGTAGAGCGCTCGCCTAGCACGGGCGGGACCTGGGTTCGATCCTTAGTACCACGTAAAAAAAATAAAAATAAAGGCATTGTGTTGTGTCCATCTACACCTAAAAAAATATTAAAAAAATAAAAATAAGTAAATAAATAAGTAAATACATAAATAAATGTACTACCACAGAGATATAGCCAGTATCTACTAAGTAAATTTAGTATAACACAATTTTATTTTGGTGTACACATGCATGAATAAAATGATTGTGCATGGACAAATATCTAAAAGGATTCATACAAAACTGTATTTTTAATAGGTGGAAATGAAAGGACTTAGAATTTGTAAGGATTTTTTAAAATTACAAATAACACAAAAATTGGGCTGATGGAATCACTGCTTCTACAAGTTACATAGCTCCTTCTGGATTTCCATAATTTGTGTTCTTTTTCACTCTGAAAAATAAAGCACTGTCCAGGCCTAGACTCAGTACTTAAAATGAAAACAAAGATGTGAAAGTTACAAGAAAAGTACTTTTCCACAATATAACATCAAGTATTTCAACTCCTCAATTATGCTGAGCTAAGAGTAAGACTACTCTTTACCACAGTTATTTGGGTTAAATAATGTGTTCTTTTAGAACTTATTTTGATACTCTGAAAGATAACACATGAGCACCCAGGGACACTGGAGAATATGCAAGAATATGCATACTATACATTTGCCAGTATTCCAGAATAATCTGTTTTTATTCATATGTGTTTGGAAAACAAACCCAAATGAAATCATAAGGAAAAGTTATTGATGATGTATCCTCTTATACTAAGAAACAGGAAATACATACAGTAGGTTTGGTCAAATCCTTTGGAACATCAATGTGAAGATTTGAGAACTGTACCCACTTCATGCTGGTACTGCTATGAGTGGGAAGAAAAAAAGAGAAAACCAAGTTAAAAAGCACACAGGCCCATTTTCTAGTTCAATTAGGCATGTCCAATGTATACTTACAGAAGAAAGGCACCATTATTTGCTGTACTGCTCTTAGAACTGTTTACAGACAAATTCCCCAAGCCCTTAAAAAAATAAAAAAAGTGGGTGGGAGGCACATATTAGAATTAAAGTCAATTTCCAAACCACTCAGTTTCCACTAAAAATTAAAAGATACATGATGCTTCAAATAAAGGGATATCTGATTATTTCAAATGAAGAAGTTTGGATACTTAAAAGGGACAGATTAATTTCAGAATAAATAAGAGGACAATGGTTGAAAATTAAAAAGCACTCTCAAAACACTAGAATCTCAACTCCCACAAGGAAAAAAAATCTATGAATTAAACATGTGGACATTAAAAAAAAAAAAAAAAAAAGCATCAAACGTGACTTTATTTTCCCACTATTTTTTTTACAGATTAACTGTACATCTGTGCCAGTGACCGCACAATCCCCCTGGTGGAACAAATATTTTTAAGCAATAAAAATTATCTTTATAATTTAATTTATTATTGTCTATTTAATTTAATTTATTAAGAGTTGGAATAAGTACCCTTCTTTTGAAGCCTCATGCATCTTTTCAAGCATATGCATTTCTTGGCTTGGCTAGGATAACTAGCTTATAAAGTAACTGAAATACAGTACACACTGGAACTTGCACCCATCACTAACTGCTATGCCACACGGGACAATTCAGCAATGCCAAATCCTTTCTTGTGAGCACCCCCTGGTGGAACAAAACTTTTTTGTTCTAGGAAACTTAAATGCTACTCTATACTACCTGTTTTTCCTTGAAGCTTTCCTGATATTTAAAAGTGTACCTTGAGAAAGTAGGAGCACAGAATCCTCAAAATACAATGAAGATGAAAATAACAAGTTGGCACAAGCAGAGCTTAATTAAAATAACCAATTGTCATTTAAGTGGTTTTTTAAAAAAATATATTTTAGTTGTCAATGGATCTTTTATTTAATTTACTTATTTATATGCAGTGCTAAGGATCGGACACAGGGCCTCACACATGCCAGGCAAGCGCTCTATCGCTGAGCCACAACTCCAGCCCCAACTTAAATGTTTTAAAAGCCTATTCTTATTGTTTTTCTTCTCTTTACTCAAGTTGGTGACAATTCAAAACTTTTCATATTCTCCCTTGGCTCATGAGAAAAAAAGAAAATGAAAAGGAAATTAGGCAAATACAAAGTAGCAAGAAGTATGTGCCATTCTTCACACACAATCCCAAAGAAAACTTCCTCCTTGAATCTATGCCAGTGACCACAAAATCCAGTTGTGCAAAAAAGGAGATATCTAAGGAATATGACACTTCTTAGTAATACTCTTCCTCTATAAATCTCAGCTTTTAACAGCTGCTTAAAGTGTGTTACATCCACCAATCAACTTAAGTTCTTAAATTTTCTTTTTGCTCTCTTTTTAAAAAATTTGAGAGGGCACAATGTGGTGGCATGCACCTGTAACCCAAGCTACTTAGAAGGCTGAGATAGGAGGATGCAAATTTAAAGCCAGTCTGGGAAATTTACCAAATCCCTGTCTAAATAGATAAATATACACATAGGGCTGGGACGTAGCTCAGTGGTAAAGTGTTCCAGGGTTTAAACCCTAGTACAAAAAAAAAAAAATTTTTTTTTTCTTTTAAGGGCGTGCGATTGGGGAATTTTTTCTGGATAAGTTCATTTTAGTGCTTCAAAAATCTCAACTTCTAACACCATCTAAAAAACAGTGGTCCTCAAAGTGTGGTCTGAAGATTGGGGTAGGGGGATGTCTCTGAGACACTTTCAGATTTGGGAAATCAAAACTATTTTCATAATAACACTAAAATATTATTTAAAACTTGTCTCTCTCACAGTTTACAGTGGCATTTTCTCAAGGATGAATAATGTGTGATACAACAAAATGCAAAAACAGATATGAAAATCCAGCAGTCTTCTTTTTTTTTTTTTTTAATTTTTTAATATTTTATTTTTTAGTTTTCGGCGGACACAACATCTTTGTTTGTATGTGGTGCTGAGGATCGAACCCAGGCCACACGCATGCCAGGCGAGCGCGCTACCACTTGAGCCACATCCCCAGCCCAACCAGCAGTCTTCTATTAAGCCAAATATTAAAGATCTCTGTAAAAGTGCACTCCTCACGAAATCTGCTTTTGTTTTGGAGAACACACTTCCCATAAAATGTTAACTATGTTAACACGTAAAGAATTTTTAGTGTTACTCCTCCCTCCCCCTACTGGGGATTGAACGCAGGGGCGCTCTACCTCTAAACTACATCCGCAGACCTTTTTATATTTTATTTTGAAACTGGGTCTCACTCAATTGCCTAGGATGGCCTCGAAATTGTGATCCTCCTGCTTCAGCCTCCTGAATAGGCGTGCACCACCGCGCCCGGCTTATTAGGGTTACTTTTTAAACGAGTATTTTTAAGATTCTCAGTTTTATTTTTGCAAACCAAAATATAGGTAGTTAAAATTCACAAAACTGAAAAATCTCTTTGGAATCCTTATCTCCAAAAGTGGGACGGGGTCCTGTGGCTAAAAAGCCCGAGAACCGCTGCTTAAGTTTTTGTTGCTCTTCCAAAGAAACATGTGGAAGATATCTAACCCACTCCGCCTACTTCAGAGACCCTCCTCTAAAATCTCCCAATCCCCGGGTGTCAGGAAGATGTCCCACTTTAGTTGGGGACTGAGATCTAGCGCCGGCTCAGCGGCTGACTTTTGCAAGGCAGGTTTCCGGTCTTCTCGGAGCCTGTGGAACAAACGACGTTCACTATTTTTTCCAGCCCTAACGTTCTTGTTCCGTCTTTGCGGGACAATTAGAAATAAAACCAAGGCTTTTCTCATCACCTTCCTGCAAACAGCAGTCCGGGACGATTAACAGATATCGGGGAAGACTCCTGACCGGCTGGACAGCGGGTGGCAGCGGGAATTAACCACTGTCCCCGTCGGCCCGCCCAGTCTCCCCAAATCTCCCCTTACCTGCCAGAGGTGCCGGCACAGAGCCCCAAGCGCTGTTCGCGCCGCCATCTTGCTTCCCCGAACTTCCAGAAGAGCTTCCGGGGTCACAGGTGCGTCCTAAGACCATAGAGTTCGATGAAAGGAGACAGTACGTCCTCGTGTTCCGCCACAGGAACAACCATAGAGATGTGATTCCTTGCTTTTGAGGGGTGGATCGGCTTTCTGATTGCAATCGCGTCTGAGTAGAATTGCTTGAACCCACGACTACCTAGTAATCAAGTTCCATCAGTATTTTCACCTCCAAACCATGCTTGTCCTATGGGGTTCTGTGAGGTTGGAGGCCAACACAGCAAAAGTTATGCTTGGAAAAAAAAAGCTACCAACTACTGAGCCCGAATCCTAACCGTTTATCTTATTGCAACAGACTTGTAGTTTTGTTCCTTAAACTTACTTTCCTTCCCTACATTAACTGGAATTCTTGTGCCCCAGATGTCTTATATAGCTCCATCTTACTAATCTTCCTAAATCATTCATTTCCTTATGTTACTCTAGAATTTGAGACAATGACTGCCTTCACCTACTAAAACAAGCCCAAATAGTGCCTAGTTCTTAATGTCCACAGTAATTTAATTTGGTGAATCGGATTTGCTGTAATAAAATTTTCTTTTATTTGTGCAGATTTCTTTATTGTTTTCCAAAGTGCTTTCACATTGGCAATTTAATGGAAAACTCGAGATTTATAATTAGGAAATCTGGATTGTAATAATCTCTGGTTTACCACTTAGCTGAGTGATTCTGGGCAAGTTTCTTTCCCACTTTGAGCTTATTTTCTCATACGTCCAATAGAGATGATAATAGATTTCACTTCAAATAGTGTCTATGAGGATTAAATGAGATACTGATGTATGATAGTTAGTACATTGTCTGCCACATAATATACAATAAATTTCATCTACCATTTGCAACATAAAGTTTCTCGTATCTTTTGCTTCACAAGGTTGTGGAGAAGATTAAGAGGATCAAGGTTATGAGAACTCTCAAAACATCTAAATAAAGCATTATTCAAATGTAGTTGTTTCTCCTCACAAGTTGTTATTTCTCCTTATTTACCCTATTTTGCAGGCAAGAGAACAAAGTAAAGGGTAGAATGATTCGTGCAACATTCCATACGTGGATGAGAGATTTAGGAGCAGAAATCAGTTTTCCTGCCCCTCCAACTGGGCTCTGCTCAGTAGAATGTAGTCCATGTGAGGGTGGCAGAGTGGTCCTACTGCATGGTATGGAAACAGCACACATTTCACCCATGTGCACTTCGCTTGGCTCAGCTGTGCCCCACCATGGCTGACCACCCAGGGTCCTCCTCAACATTAGGCTCTCTTAATTGTGAGATTGGAAGTGGTCTATCTCAGCCAATGGGTTTTCCTGAAAGCAGCACCCCTGCCCCCACCGCCACTGTTTTGCTGCTTCTGAAGTTTGCATCAGTCTCTCAATATGACTCCTCAACTGTCCTCTGCCCCTTTGAGTAGCCTGAGTCTGGAAAGTGTTCTGCAGCCACAATGATGGTAATATTACGATTCTCTCTCTCTCTCCAGATTTTACACACACACACACACACACACACAATTTGTTAACTTAATCTCAGACATGAATTTTATCCTAATTTTATAGGTGAAGAAACAGGTTCAGAGAGGAAATAACTCACTCAAGCTTGGTTTCAACTGAACCAATAACCATCTTTGAAATCCTAGTTCAAGGCCTTCCTTTCCTACCCCAGCAGAGAGCTTGTTCTGATTCTCTGATGAGGCCCAGTTCTATTTGAGTCTCCTTTGGATTAAAGGAATCAAGACACCCATCCTCCACCACACCCTACTACAAAATAAAACGGGTTTACTTTTAAAGAGGTGGCCCAAACTCTTCTAGGCCCCAAAGACTGTGCTACAGTCAGCCTGGGACTAATGTCCTTGCTGGTCCTCTGATGGCCTTCCTGTGGATTGATTTGTTCCTGCTCCCCCAGGGCTCTGCCCTGCTTGTTGCCATGGCTCGCTGCCTCTAGCTCAAGTTTTCTCATTTGTTCTGTCTCAGATGTGGGAATTTGATTCAGTCCCCTCATCTTTCTTGGCTAAGCCATATCATATGTCACTGACTGGCCTATTGGCCTAATGACTTTGGGTCCCATGTTAACCTGGTCCAGTTAGCTGGGAGCAAGGGGACAATCATTGTAAAGGGAAAAGGGGCCTGGGGATGTAGTTCAGTGGTAGAGCACTTGCCTAGCAAGGGCAAGGTCCTGGGTTTGACCCTCATACCACACAAGGGGGGCCAGCTTTTGCCAACAGTAGGGCTGTGGACAGGGCTCTTTGACAGTGTGGGGATAGACAGCGTTCTGAAGCTTGGCCTATCCGTTATGGATCTCTTTCCTACAGCCTAGACTTTCAAACATCTGACCTAATGGAGAAGAACAGGCTCCAGATGGTTGAGCAGGTGCATTTTGCTGTATCTGCAGAAAGACAAAGAGCACGCACAACAAAATTGTATTTTGATTGCACCAGTTCCGTTTTTAAAAGGAGCCATTTCAAAAGATTATCTCTTACATAAAAGAAACAGTCAGGCCCTTTTATGGCTGTTTTATGTAGGGATATTTGTGATCAGAGATCCCGTACAGGACTCAGGGTATAGCACAGAGGTACTTCTTGCCCGGCATTGCAAAGCCCAGGGTTCAATCCCTAGCACTGCAAAAATAAGACAAAGATCACTTAACCACTCATTTAGGAATGTGTTACTCAATTTCTTAAAATGTCTAATTAGGGTTAGTTTTTGTCAACATTAAAATTCATCCACATTTCTAGAACACATACAACTCAGCAGACTGGCTGTTGCCAAGGAAGGCAGACTGGGAAATCATGGAACACCGAATTGATTTGAGGTTGTGTTCCCCTGCCCCCCCCCCCCCAGCATTCCTGAAAGACTAGAAAGGTAATTAACAAATAGTTATTGGGCACCTGCTGTAAATTGCTGCAAATGTGTGGGTGAAGGTAAGGAAGTCCAGAATATTAAGAAAGCTTGAACTTTGCTCTTCCCAACAGTGAACCTGGATCAGTTCCCAGGTACCTGTTTGTTCTTTCTGGATATTAATTTTTTTTGCAGTGGCCGGGCGATCACACGCCTGTAATCCCAGAGGCTGAGAGGCAAGAGGATAGCTAGTTCAAAGCCAGCCTCAGCAAAAGTGAGGCACTAGGCAACTCAGAGGGACCCTGTCTCTAAATAAAATAAAAAATAGGGCTGGGGATGTGGCTCAGCGGCCAAGTGCCCCTGAGTTCAATCTCAGGTACCCGCCCCCTCCACCAAAAAAAGCAAACATATATTGACATTTGCAAATCCACATATAAAATGGAAATAAATCAGGGCAGACATGGATGCTGTGGCTTACTGTAGACTCCTATAGGTAATATTGAGCTTGAACAATACTGGTTAGAGTATGTCACATCTTCAAGTGGCCCATCTACTGCTTGAGGAACAGAAATGTGCATCCGGGTTCTGGAGTAGGGCTGGAGCGGGGGTACTTCAATGAGAATGAAATGTGACCAGCTGGCCTCTCAAACCTGTGTCAACATAAACCAACTAGCACTTATTCAGCATTGAAAAGTCATTCCAGTGGCTAGAAAAAAAGGAATATTTAAGCCAAATGAAACTCAGAAAGATAATATTTTATTTTCAGAGCAGCTGATGCAATATTGAATCAGGTTTTCACAAATAAATAGGACAGCGTGTATTTGGTTACATTTCTATTTTGATGAATGCCCGTCTCTAGGAACTGTAATAAATTTCTAAGGTAAATGACTGGAACTGAAGTAAAATTCTCCCGGTTCTCTTCTGAAAAAGTATTGTGATAATTTTAAAAAATGCTTAACACTCAGGTGGGGAAACAACCTACAATGCCCCAGTTATTATTATTATTATTATTTTTAAGGAATGCACCTTTTTAGGACAAGTCTATAAAACATCTTTATTTATTTGTTACATATGATGTTTAAATATAACTTTGCTTTCAAGCTTCAAACTTTTTTAAACCCCTGGTAAAATAAGACTTTTGGTTCACCTTAACAAAAACTGACCTAGGAAGAAACATTTTTAGCAAAATGTTATTATAAAATTCACTAGAAAATACTGTCCTCTTTTTGCCAAAATGTTACATAAAATCCTTATTAAAAATACACACATTACAAAAGAAAAATTATGAATATGCTATACATAGTGCTTTGATATGGACCAAGGGACCTGCATTCTGGGAAAATACAGTTAAGCACACTGAATATTAAGATGTCAACTGATAATAGTGCAAACCTGAATAAGTTACATCCCGATATGGAAGGCATGCAAGTCATCTGTTGAGAACAGAACATAAAGAAGCCAGAACAGGAAGCAATCACAGCCGCTATTTAAAAATGTTTTCATTTTTATTACATTAATTTTTTTCAAAAATACTTTTCTTTACAATAGAACTCCTAGAAAATATTTACAACCTTCCTCTAATAAAATATAACAGCAGTTAAATATATTTGAAAATAAGATGGGTTTTTCCATAAAATATATCTGTTAACTTTTTATATACAAGCTTTCTCAAAGAGGTCTAAATTCACTAATGAAAAACCATCTGATAGTAAACAGTAACCGTGTTGAAGACATTAACCATTAGCAAGAAAAGTTCTTTGGGGTGGGTGGGTGGGGGACGCAAAAACACAATACATCCATGCAGGCAGATCATTCCAGAAAAAAAAAAAAGTAAGTGCAATATATTATACTAGGAAGTCGATTCTTTGATAGTCAAGAAATACTAATTCAGGTATTTGAACTGTCTCATTAAGGAGGAGTTCTTTGGTTATTTCAAGTCCAAGATCCTTACCCTATACTGCATGGAAAATTAAAATTAAATTGTGCATTATATTTTTTGCTGTGACAACTCAGTTTATTTTTAATGTTTAAAACTGGAACAGCCGAGCAAGTCTCCAAATAGAAGGGATACATTTGCTTTATAAACATTTTTCTGGGCATTTGGTCTTTTGATAAGCTTCTACAGACCCAATGGCAGAAACCATTCCAGGCTCACCCTCAGACCAGAAGGAGGTCACTTCAAGATCTACTGATGACATGACATTTGCAATGGTTCTGTAATAACTCTGCCACCAAGCTGGTGCCTGATGCCCAGGCAGTTCTTAACTCAGAACTGCTTAGATAAAACAACAGGATAGATTAACCTGTTGAAATGGCAGCAAACAAAGCAGTTTTTTTTTTTCCTTAAAGAGGAAGGAAATCTCCAAGACATCTTCTCTGAAAACAGAATGCTGGAAATGAGAAAATCTTTGTATTTTTCTTCTGTGGCTTTCCTGAGATTCAGAAACCACTGCCTGTGTGGGGCTATGACAGGTCACAGTGGGCCCCCATGAGTGTGTGCTAAATGCTTTTGCAAAGTCAAATTTAAAGGATGCTCAGGTCCTGTCCTCATGCCTCTGCTGATTTTCTGTCTGATGTCCAGCTATTACTGTGCCAGCAAAGTGGCCCAGAGTGATAGCCACCTTTCTGTGGAGCTGGGTTGCTACCGAGGGAGGGGAGAGGCCTGAGAACACCTGCTCCAGAGGTCATGTGGCATTAACACTGAAAAGGGGCCAAGAGGAGCAGATCCCCTCCTTGCCAGGGCTAAGTCCCGGTCTGACTTTTGCGCTAACAGTGGGATGGGTCAGTCTGACTCAGTTCAATAGCCCGGATATTGACATTTTTGAAGGATTACAAAGTTTATTGCCTTCAAGTACAAACAGCAACCCTGCTGACAGGGGCAGGAGGAGGCAGAGCAAAGTCATGCAGCTTTGTGAAGTCTCGAAGTGCTTTGGTAAGTGACTTGTAATGAATACATTCATTGTTTGAATGCAAACATTTAAGCAAAAGTGTATCTGAAACTATTTTTGTTGGCCTTCCAAGCTACTTCCTTCGTATTTGTGATCATGACCTGTTAGAAAACCCTCTCTTAGCTGGTATCTAGGTAAACTTCAGTCCAGCAGACACGAATTACAGCAAATTCCCAGTGAGTGTTGTTTTCATCGATCTTTCAAGTGGCACAAAGTAATTTCAGAACTCCACTGACCGTGAACAGCATTGCAAAAAGAATAGGTTCTTCTGATCTGCTTTTTTTTGGTGGAGGAAAAAGAACAATTCCTGACAGGTCTGAACAGAAAAATAACTCTTGGTGGGAAAAATGGCCCAAGGCCCCAGCATGAAGAGCGTAGCCTGCTTCACATACGCACACACACACATACACGCACACGCACACGCACGGCAAGCTTTGGGATAGAAGGCAACCAGGATGGTTGACATCTGAAAGCAACGGAACAGGACGCCAAGTCCACTCCCTGCTGGGAATGATCTTGAGAGGATGTAGCCCAGATGAAACACCTCTTAAAGATAGTTGTGCCAATTATTTATTCCCCCAACCCCCCCAACAATTAAAAAAAAAAAAAAGGAAAAGAAACTGGATTTTTTTTTTCTAAACCTGAATAAAACGACCACTTTTTAAACAGGTAGTTTAAAAGGGTTACAAAACAAGCGGGCAGTCCAGGTTTCCTGATTATTAAAGACGGAGGCAGTGGGTTCTCACTGTCTCTAAGCAACAAACAGGGCTTTAGAGTTCCGCGTCACCCTGAAGCAAAACTGAATCTTGGTCATCTAAGAGAAGATCGGTGTCCACGACCTCAGCCTCTTCCATGACGCCTCCCAGCTGCTGGACCACGTCGTCATCGAGGGTATCTGCATCCTTGATGGGCTTGATCAGACCCAGCTGGTCCAGAGGCAGGAGCCCTGGCGTCCCCACCGACCCCGTAGTCCTCTCGATTGTGGCTGCCATTTCTGCTGCGAAAGCTGCCTTCTGAGCTTTTTGCCTCTGCTGCTCCTCCTGTTGCCTGTGAGTTTTCATGTGTGCATTTCGGCTTTTGATCTTGAAGAAGACTCTAAAAATGAAGAAAAAAAAGCACGTAAAATTTACAAGGAGATCTGAGTTCCTGAAGATCCCAGTGTCCTACGGGGAATGGGGGTGCAGGTTGGACATCTGGTTTGGGGTGGCTTTGACAGAGTCCTAGGACATTCTCTTGCTGTGGCCTATCACGTCCTTTTCCTCCTCTCTAAGCATTAGAGGAAGAGGAATGGGAACAGGAGCACACTGATGGCATGATTAGGCTCCTTCCCAGGATAATGCCCGAGGCCTTTGAGAAGGTCTTTGGGTCCTTCTGGGGTCTGGAACAAGTGCTCTTTCTCCTCCTTCAGCCTCTCTGCCTCCACATCACTAACCATGCCCTCTCCAACAGAGAAGCCCTAGATCATACTATCGAGCTGTGAGAGTCCCCATCATAAACAACCCAACATCTGCCCTGGCCTCTGTCCCCGTTCTTCCAGTTAGGGTAGTTGAAGGATCTTTCTGCACATAGTTGGTGCGTCCCCCTTTCTCTCCTCTGCCCTCTCTAATCAGCCTCTTGTTTTCTCCACTTCAACCTGTCTGTCCTTCTCAAGGTCACAGGGAACCCTGTACGGTCAATTTCAGTGGCCTCACTTCTATCTTCTTGTTGTTTGACTTCTGAGCTGTATCGACACGTCTTTTCATTGAAAACCCCTTCTTATTGGCCATCATATTATAATTTTCTACTAAGACTAAAAGTGGGTCCCAGCTGGGGGTGATTATGCCCTTCCAGGCAACACTGGGCAATGTCTGGAGACATTTTTGGTTGGGGGAAGAGTTCTTCTGACATTAAGCGGACAGAGGCCAGGGATGCTGACAGCATTCTACTTTGCAGAAGAAGCCTGTTCCCCAGCAAGTAATTACCATATGCAGATGTCAAGAGTGCTAAGGTTGAGAAGTCCTAGGATAAAAGGATAGCCATCATATTTGGGAGGTTATTCTTAACCAGAGGCCTGCAAACTATGGTCAGTGGATCAAATCTAGCCTATTTTTTATAAATAAACTTTTAACAGAATGCAGCCATGTGGATTTGTTTGTTCTGTTTCTGGCTGCTTTTGTGCTACCAGGGCAGGGCTGAGTAGCTGAAGCACAGACAGAATGGTCTGCAAGGCCTAATGTATTTACTATCTGGAACATTTTCCAGAAAAAAGTTTGCCCAAAGGGAGACTATGTTTATGAATAGGGTAGCATAAGTACTCTATTATTATTATTATTTACTTCCAAGTTCATAAAGGATAAACAAACAAACAACAAACCCAAAAGCCTGATTTCTAAAGCCCAAGTTAAACAGTGTTGATGAATTCCATTTAGACATAATGAAAACTGTTTAATGTAATAAACATAATTCCAGCAACTAAAGGAGGCATCTGTGAACATTTACCTAATATCATTCCCAGGATGGAAAACCACAAAAAGTAGTTCTATTTTCCATAAAATTTTAACTGGACTTTTGGTAGAAAAAGAACCTAAGCAACATAAAAATGAGGAAAGTTTTAATCGTGCCACTGAAAGACCGTCATAAAGCATGAAATACAGGTTGAATATCTCTTATCAAAAGACTTGGGCCCAGAACTGTTTCAGATTTTGTGTGTGTGTGTATATGTGTGTGTGTGTGACATATATATAATATATTTATTTATTTGTTTATAAATATTTGTATATACATAAAAGATTCTTGGGAGTGGAACCCAAGTCTAAACACAAATTCATTTGTTTCATTTATACCTTACACACATGGCCGGATAGTACTTTTATACAATAATTTTTAATGATTTTGGATTTCAGAGTTTTAGACTAGGTATGATCAATCTGTAAGAATTTTTGTTAAAGTGTCCTTTGTCTCCACCTGGTGGAATAAGAAGTTATAACCTGTTTGAACAGAATAAGTGGAAGGTATGGGCTTCTCTCAGAGGGGACTGGGAAGACTCCACTGTCCCCACACTTCTATTCCCAGACAAGTGGGAGAGAACTGAGCTTGGGGTGGTGTAACCCTCCTCCAAGCAAATAAGCTTGATGATCAGTCTGTGGACTCATTCAATCTGCAGCTCCCTCAATGTGTGTGTGTTGGGGGGGTAGGGGAGAAGATGACGTCTTTTCCATGCTTTGAAAGCACAGAGGAACAGACCAACACCTAAACCCTCCTCTCCCATCCCTGGCTCCACAAGGGGTAAGGGAGATGTGGGTCCAGTGCTCTGTGGTGGGTGCCCCAGAACTGAATCAGGTTTACACAGAGGCAGCTTGGCCTAGAAGCTAAGTACACAAGGCTGGCCCAGACAGCGTGCTTTGTACCCCAATGTGGCCTAAACTTTCCGTGCCTTAGTTTCAGCTTACTAAGAGTGACTAAGAGCACCTGCCTCGTAAGGTATTCTAAAGAGTAAATGAGTCAATACATGCAAAAATTCTTTTAAAATAGTGCCAGGCAAATAACGAGGACTGACTGATTGATGGCAGCTACTATAATGCTGCCGGATACATTCTGTGAGGATGTGGAGGGAGAGGTCTCCAACTGGCTTCACTTATGTAACTAGAGATGCTTTCTTGGCAATTTCAGCCTCATCCTGGTTGGTGTCTCTCCAGGTGACATTTCTTGTGTTTGAGGCACTGGAGGTTATGGGAAGAGAAACTCAGTGAGGCTCCTGAAGGATCGGCATGACCATGAAATGCCCTCAAGTCACTCACTGGGAACTGGAACTCTCCTAGAATTCCATGAGAGAACTATGCACCTTACCATCAATGATATTTTCTTCCTAAGGTAAGCAAACAAAGCAAACCAAAAGGAAAGAGTAATAGCAGGAACCCAGGCTGTGCCTGTGGACTGGCTGGGTTCAAATCTTGGTTCTGTTCTTCACTGGCAGTGTGGCCTGAGGTAAGGCATTTTACCTAACTTTAAATCCTTATTTGTAAAACAAGGATAAAGACAGCAAATGCATCATATGAAGTTTTTGTGTGAGAACTGAGTTCATGTACATGAAGTAAGTACTCAGTAAATGTTAGCTGTTTTTATTACTACCTACTGTCAAGTTTCCCCTTTAGTTGTTATAAACTATCCCTAAGAGGGCAGGGATAACACATAGGTTTTATCCATGTATCAACTCTAATCAATTGGTTGTATAAACTTGAAGCATGATCATCAAAAGAATCTGAGGCCCTGTCTTAATGTGATAGCCGTGAGTGTGGTGCTTGATTAGTGATGTCTGCCCTGGGAACAGGAGCGAGTGGTGGTGGAAGGCATGTGATGTTTTGCCCACCTCTGCTATAGAGAGCTCCTGATTAGCTGTTCTGGAGCCATTCTCAAAAAACTCAGCAGGGATGCAAAGCTAAGTGACATTAGTGAATACAGTTTGGGTGTGCACGGAGAAAGTGGAAATTGGCATTCCACACATTTCTGCAAAGAAGTGAAGTTTGTCACTAGAGGTTTGCTCTCTGAAGATGCTTGTCCTTCTAGGACACCAGAATGGCCATTTTCTGAGTCAGAGAGACGGTCCACCTTACAGATTCTAAATATGGCATGAAAGTGATTTGAGACTCTAGGTTCTTCCTCTAGCTGATGAAACCTCAGACTGTGTTGGCCTGGCCCCTACAGAGCCATCATCCACTGTGGTTCAGACCTTGGTTCAAGTGCACCTACTTGCCACACTCCTTGCAGGGGAAGATGGTGGTGGGGTCTGTCTCGCCACTGGTGGTGCTGTGAGAAGGTGAACTCTTCACAGAGCAATACCCACTCTGGGTGCCGCCAGGCTTCTGCTTCCCAGAGGGGACAGCACCTCGAGTCTTGGTCACCTGGTTGGTGCCACCATGGATGCGGGCATGGCCATTCAGTGCCTGTCGGGAGCTGAACACCTGGGGAAGAAAGGGAGTGACATGACATCTACAGTCCTGAAAAGGAAATTAGGGTTATTAGTTACTCATTGGTAAAACAGTGATACATGAAACAGTGTCTAATGACAGGCACAAGCGTTTTATCTAAGCAAACTCTGGGCTTATGCCACAGAAAGCCAAGCTCAAATCCCACAACTGCAAATGCTATGCCAACCCAAACCCCATCATTGTCATAACCTGAGAGGAGAGGCACCGTGGCACATGCGTAAAGGACAAAGGCACCATCTCAAATTCAGGAGACTGGGGGTCTACATCCAGCTTGTCTTAACTCACAGGTGGCTCTTAGGCCATTTCCCTTTGGGACATCTCATTTTTTCCCCCATATGTAAAATGAGGGGGTTGGACTAGCTTTCAAAACTTTTTTTTTTTTTTTGGCTAAAAGCCAATTCCTTCCTTTTTTATTAAAGAATTAGGTCTTACCCCAAACTCAGGTGAAAAGCAGAGATGCTCTGGCTGAAACGGAGCAGACCAGAATCCAGCCCACTTACTCAGCCCTGTCTCTGTCCAGGAAGCTCTAGCACCCCCAGGAAGAGTGGGAAGGACATCGATGAGGTGCTCTGGCACACTCTCTACCTTATGTACAGCCTCAATCAGTAGCCCATTGCTTAACCCCCTCCCATAACCCCCAGTGCTAGGGCTGGAACCCAGGACCTCATGTGCTGGTGCTTTGCCACTGAGCCACACCCCAATCTCAGAAGCCCATTGTTTACGCAGTGTTTAAGACCCCCACATTTCAATACAGGATAATACAAAGGGGGAAGAACCTGCAAGTCTTTTTGAAGATTCCATAAAGCAGGGGTTGTAGCCTCAGCACTACGGATACCTGGGGCTGGGTGATTCTTCACTGTGGGGACTGTCCTGTGCACTGCCAGATATTTAGCAGCACTTCTGGCCTCTACCCACCAGGTGCCAGTAGCACCTCCATAGTCCCGATGAAAATGGCTCCAGACATGGCCAAATGTTCTTGGGGGAATGGAATGTTCTTGGGTCCTCAGTTCAGGGCCACTGCAATCCATACCCTGAATCCCAAGAGCCCGGACTTCCAGCTTGTGAAAGTTAACAGCTAACAGGGAAGCCCATCAAGCTGCTCAGCTCTAGGGGCTGCTCTGTGTTCATCCACAAGCCGTGTTTATTGTCATACAGAGAAAAACAAAATCTATCACTGATCTGACAACTACAGCCTCTATTGTTATGCAAAGAAAAAAACCAGCATGCTTTCCCCACTTTGATTTTAAAAAGTCATTAAAAAATATCTGTCTTGCTGAGCTTTTCTGATGGGGCTGAGTGAACGATGACTTCCCACTCAGTAAAAAATTTACAGTACACTCTAACTATGAATTGAGGAAGTATCCAATTTCTGAACAAATTCACCAAGAGATGTTGTCATTTAAAGTCACATCTTAATCATCCCTGAACTGAAGCATTCCATACAAAATGGCAGTGACAGAGTGAAGAGGTTGGGTCATTAAATAACCCAGATGGAAAGAAGTTGGCAGGTTCCATTCTCTTCACAGCTAATGCAAAATGTGTACATTTTTTAAAAACTTTTTTCCTTAAATGTAAATCAATACATTTCTGCTTTAGGATATGAATATTTTAAAGACTGTTGCTTCTTTCATGTAAGTGACAGGCTCAATAAGCAGCATTTGATACACTCTATATTAAACAAACATAAGACAAGAGCACTAACTTGAGGACAAGGGACTTCACTGTAAAGGAACAGCATCCTCATTTTGGGATAATACTCTAGAATTTGCCTGTCCAGGTATGCCCGGCTTTAAGAAACCTGATTTGGGAAAAGCTCCCCAATTTATACTAGTGGGGGAGGCAGGTGGAAACCTGAAGTCCAAAAGAACCTTTAAAATTTTCCTTTAAAATATGCATGGAGCCTTTGATGGTCTGGTACAGCTTCTGTAAGGCCCTCCTTTAGTGCAGGGAATGAGTCTAGGTGGTTACACAGACTCCCTTTCAGGTGTTTACATAATTAGTTTGCTAGGTCAATCTTTCTGTCCCCACAGAGTACAAAGACAAACTTTAGCTAAATCTTTATAACAACCTTCTCAAATTTCAAATTAGTGACATTTGAATTAGTAACACTTTATGGAATATGAGATGCAAAACCTTCCAGATAGGTAAAACTACAGGCAGTGGGGCAAGTAATTGCATTTATAAAAGGGTGATCCTGTCTGGAGGTGCCCTTGTTCATTTAAATGCATGCCGACAGGGCACGACCTTGGGTGACATGCAGCCTAGGAGGTTCAGAGGCACTAAGAAACAGTGGGCTTTCTGAAGGCCACAGCTTGCTTTGAAGTTTTTCATTTATTTATTTTTACAGTACTGAAGATTGAACCCAGGAGCACTTTATCACTGAGATACAACTCCAGAGACAGAATCTGCTGAGTTGGCCTCAAACTTGTGATCTTCCTACCCCAGGCTCCTGAACTGCTGGGATTATAGGCGAGCTCCACTACACCTGGTTAGTTTTGTGTCTTTCTTTCTTTTTTGTGCTGGGAAATAAACCCAGAACCTTGAACATTCTAGGCAAATGCTCTACCATTGAGCTACTTCCCTAGCCCTGCTACAGAACTTGGAATCACACACAGCCTGAGGACTGAATGTGTATGTGGTACTGGGATTGAAGCCAGAAGGCACTATCACTGAACTACATCCCCAGGCCTTTTTATTTTTTATTTTGAGACAGGATCTTGCTAAGTTGCTGAGGCGGGCCTTGAACTTGTGATCCTCCTGCCTCAGCCTATTTAGTTGCTGGGATTACAGGCATGGGTATTGAGCCAGGCTAGGGACCTTCTTTATGTCCTCTAGCCATAGCATTATGCTTGACAAAAAAATACATAAATATCTTGACTTAATGAATAAGAGAACTATGGCCACATGGAGTGGCCTCTACCAAATTTTCATTGCTCAAAGTATAGCCTTTCAAAAATGCATCATCTCTTACAGTTAGGGGCAGCTGCATGGCCCTCACTTGTTCCAGATCCCTGGACAACACAGACACTTACAGCCCCACAGTTGGGCATTTCACAGATGAAGGAGCCGGAGGGCTGGCCAAGGGCCTGCAGGGGTGGTCCCTCGGTGGGAGCCAGGACAGGGACTGGTGGTGGCTCCGGGGACTTTGGGGGTTCACTCTCTTCTTCTTTTGTGGATTTCTTGTCTTCCTCCAGGTCCTCCTCCTCTTCCTCTAACTCTTCTTCTTCTTCACTTGTCTAGTATTAATAAAAGCAAGAAGGGGACATCCCCACATAACATTTTTAGTGATGAACAGAATTTACAGATCAGTAGATCAGCGAGGGGCTGGTGCTGAGGCTGTGGTACTTTAAAAAAAATTTTTTTTTCTGGTACTGGGGATTGAACCCAGGGGCATTTTCCCACTGAACCACATCCCTGGCCCTTGTTATTTTTTATTTTGAAACAGGGTCTTGCTAAGTTGCTGAGGCTGGCCTTGAACTTGTGATCCTCCTGCCTCAGCTTCCTGACTTGCTGGGATTACAGGTGAGTGCCACCATGCTTGGCTGCTGGGTCACTTTCTTTCCACACAAGGAATGGCTGACAGAGCCCGTAGGGCTCAATCTCTGAAAGGCTGGTCTCTGGACACTTGGGAGTTTGAGGTCAAGGAAGTCTCCCTGCTGTGCTCTGGGTCCCCTCATCCCTTATACAAAATTATACTGTGGCAGAGAGGAGAGATTTCTGTATCTACAGATTCCCCTCCTTGTTGGAGATCATCAGACCTTACAAATGACTAAAACTCAGGTAGGCTGCCCTGCTCCTGAGGACCTCTTTCCCCTCCCAACAGTGGGAAGGGTGTTTTCAGGCAGCAACAGCACTGTGGAGCCCCCTCTGGAGAGGGACTATAGAGACCCATAATGATTTGATTTATAGGCTTTATATCATACTTCCAAGAGAGATACCCAATTTGCCCTGTGATGCACGGAAAGCAGGCCCGGCTCAGAGCTCTCCTCCTCCATTCTTAACAGAAAATAGAATGAAAAGGAGAAAATGGAGGGGAGATTCTCTTTTATTTGTCATGTGCTTTTTCTTTTTTCTCTAGCTGCGGGCAGAAAGGCGTGTATTCGATGTTTCTGTTTATTTATTATCTCCTTCCAGAGGCATTTTTTAAAATAAAAAGAAAAAAAATAAACAAGAAACATTTTCCATGAAAATGTATCCTCTTGACTACTCTGCTCCTTCTCCACTTCAGAACAGGAACCACACAGAGAATTAAACAAAGTTCCCTCCCTGCCTCAAGGTTAATAAAAGAGCAAGTTCCCAGAGCAGCCTGGAGTGGGTGCCTGGCTGGTTGGGATGGGACACAGGGATCCAGGAGCCCCTCATTCAACCTCTTGCTTAACTAACTACTTCATTCTTCTCTCTCTGTCCTTGTGGGGTGGGGCAAGGGCTGTGACCCAGGGAAAAGGCATTCTATGTTATAGTCCCCTCATTTCAGCTTATATTTCACAGTTTACAAAAGTGTGCAGTAACAAGAGGCTGTAATATGTCACTGAATAGGCCATAAACAGTCCTCCCATTTTACAAGGGAGGAGACAAAAGGCATGTCGGGCTGCCTCTGCCCCCAGCAGGTCATTTGTCCCTACCAGGCCCTCCTCACAAACCCACTGCTTAGAGCATGTGGTCCAGTCTGCTTTTCCCTGGAGTGACGTAACTGGGTAAAACTATGATTCTTAGAACCCAGAAACTCGAATTTCCAAAAAGAACAATTTCTGAAGAGTAGCGGTACTCTGGGATCCAGTAACCACAAACATCCTCCCTCCAGTCTGGTTTTGGGGTGTGTGAGAGAGAAAGACAATACTAGTCAATATGAGGCATCTAGCACCCTCTGACTGTTTCAGTATTATCCACTGGTAATTATCATGTATGTGCACATTTGAAATGATGTATTAACAAGGTATATTTAAGAAATGGTCCCAATTTTCTGTATGGTAATTAAGATTATTAAGGATTATATTTGCTGGAAGACTTCAATGAACACTGATGTTGGCCTTATACATTTTACAGAGTGGTGCATGATATAAGCTGTAGGTCTCTCATGGGTACAGAACATGCAAAGGAGAGTTCACTGAGGTGGTCTTATTCCTATAGGAACCCACTATTTTTCAAACCCAGAATTTCTGGCAACATTATGTTATATCCAACTCTAAAGGTTTCCCCCATTTCTTTATAGAACTGGGATTTTGTGATCTCAAATAGTAAGTGGACCATGGCCTACAGTTTGGCATTTTAAATGAATTAAATAATAACTTTTAATGAAAATGGTTTCATGGTTACTTGTTGTAATTATAATTTTCCCACAATGCCATTTTTTGGCTTAAAAACTCTTAGAAGAAACTCTCCATGTAGCCACAAAATTACAGACTAAATTATTCCACACTGTGATTATGAATGCCTCAGGAATTTAGATAGATTTTATTTCAACTGGCAATCTATACTAGTTCACAAAATGATTTATCATCGAGCCATATGGCCCAACAAAGTGACTAAGAGATGCAAAGATAGGAGGACAAAAATCCTAACATGTAGAACTCTGTATCAACAAGTTGGCCATTTTATGATGTATTGCAAAATGAAACATGTAGTAATATTCCTGAGTTAGAGGAAAGTGGTCAAATACAGGGTGGGGAGGAGGCTGTATATTTAATATGGCGCCCAAACTTTGAGTACAAAAAGTTTCGCATGGAGGACGGTATTTTTTACTTCTCAGGCATGCAAAGGAAATTCACATGATGAAAAATGTCAGCAACCCAAATCTGCTCAGATAAAAATCTGAGTGTTATGGTCACTAGTGATAATGGTGACAAGGTATAGAATACTTGTACCAATCAAGCAACACACACACACACACACACACACACACACACATACACACTTATTTCTAGTTGTCACAACAACCATGTAAAAACTCTTTTTTTAAACAAATGAGGAAATTTGCCAGAGAAGTAATTTTCCCAAGATCACATGGCTGATGAACTGAGATTCAAAATCTTGCCTGTCTGATTCCAAAATCTCAGCCTTCTTCATCCTTTGGTCCTGCCAAAAATGTCCTCAGGGGGATACTGGTCCCTCTGTAACTAGCCTAGAGATCCTAAACTCCCTAGCCATTGAAGCTAGCTGCTCCTGGCCCACTCAGGCTCCCTGCCCTTATACCAGGGTTGTTTTCCAAAGTCAGTTAATTGCCTGGGATGGTTCCTTGGATTGTGTTGAGTTCTGGTCATAGTTAGCCCCAGATGTGCCCTGAGTGGGGAACATGAGCATGCATAGGGGCAGCACGGTGTGGGTAGCATGCTTTCTTCCAACCTCCTTAACAGAAACCCACACCCCTATAACTCCCTTCTGCCTCCAAGGGAGGAAGGGCCTTGCAAGGGCTCAGGATGGAAGTCAAACTACCTTAGCTGACCTTGCTATGCTGACCTCCTGGCCTCCTGAACAGCGAGGGTTCCTTACAAACCCTTTAAGTCTTCAATAATCGCTGCGCTCCTGGGTGTGTTCCTGTGCATTCCATCCAGGTGAGGGAAAATGCTCATCTGTTCTTTAATAAAACACTGAGGTTACAAGAGCAGGAGAGTTGTCCCAGCTGTGCCAGACCGGCCGAAAGGACAAAAAGCAGGACCATGTCCTAGAACTGTGCTTCCCATACCTTCTCAGCCTTCCCTTTCTTCATCTCTACTTTTAAAAGGCTGACTGTGCCCATGATGCCCATGAAAGAAATGGGAGCACCCTGCTGGCCTTAAATCAAGATTTTCTTGTTTCTTTGGGCCTGAGTCATCTCTGCACATAAGCTTTTTGCTCTTCTTAAGCTCATCAATGAGGGTGTGGATGCTCCTGACCCGGCCTGATACTGGCTCCTGGGGATTGAGCCCAAGAAGGTGTGGCCTCCTGGGCACTGTCTTAACCCCCACTCCTTGTCTGAGGCTAAGTGCTGGCCTGGGCCTTTCTACCCACCTTTAAAGCAACACCAGCCAAGATGGGCCTCTGCCTAACATGTTCCTAGTGGCACTCCTCTGTCAACATCCCACTGTTCATTCTACCTCCCCCAGGGAGTTCAGAGGGAATGGTGCTGTGAACCAGAGTGACTCCTACCTCAGAAAAATGTTTACTCACTCACTGAATGGCTATTTATTGTTTTGGCAGTACCATAACTGCACATTATCCTAGGCATTTCGTATCACCCAAGTCTAAGAGACACCAATTTACCTTGGGAGACTATATCTATTGACTTTGCCCTCTCCCAAAACATGACTCAGATAGAGCCCAGAACATTTCAGAATTGGAAGGGACTTTCCAAATCACTGAAATCACCTGCCCTCTTTTAGGTCAGCAGGTCTACAAGTTAGGTCCTAGGTCTCCAAGGCCAAGCTTCTTTGTGCTTCCTTGTTTACTGTCTATTCTGCTCATTTGGAAAGCAATGCTGTATGACCCTAGGCAAGTCCTCCCTTTCTGGATCTCAACCTTCTGCCTGTGAAATGATGGGGCTGGATGAGCATCTATATCGAAGACATTCTGGTTCTCAACTCATACTGCTTTTAAACACTCTTGGGGTTCGGGGTGAAGTTTCCACCTGTATATGTTGCATGTCCCAACCAGAATATATACTCTGAGAGGTGGGTGGAGAGAAGGCAGATGCCATTAATCTCCTTGCTGTTTACATCCATACTTGTTACTGTTTACCTTGTGGGGACCAATAGCTTTTAGTTGACTGAACTAGAGGAGGCCACCCTGTTTTTTTGAATGTTCGGCTGCAGATGAGCAGGAGGATATTCTGTTATGACTTCACAACTTAAACTGAACAAAAGCCCTGGTCACAGGAAATCCTGAACATGGAATACTGCCACCTCTGATTTTTTAAAATGGCAACACCAATCTAATATGCAGTTCTCTTATTTTCTCTGACATTTGGGCCCACCAATAAATGTATCTATGCATGTGTATTCCACAAGCTAGGATCAATTCTTAGCTAAAATGCATTATGAGTCCAAATGTTTTTATACTTCTCTAAGAAAATTTGCATCTGACTGTTCTTAAGTATTCCACAAGGGACTCAGGCTCCAACAACACACTCACCAACTGGGTGACCATGGCCTTCTCGCTTAAACTCCATGTCTCACTTTCCTACCTTACAGAATTGGTATTAGATAAATTGTATTGGACTAGATGAGTCAATAATATCTGCAAAGTGTCTGGCACAATGCCAAACACAGAGAACATGCTGTTTAAATTGCTGTTAAAGAAAATAACCCATATATGTGCTAATAATACTACTGGGAGCAACTGGGACTAAGAATATGATTATAAATATTCACATAGTGCATGAATCCCAGACATTTCTGTAGATGGTGATAAAGACTATGGTTTAGTAGTTTGTTCTAAGACATAATTTTACATACACATACATGATAGATAATGTTTTCCACAAAGTGGGGAAAGGAGATTTCCCCTGGATATGGATGCAGAGAAGGAGTTAGTTTATAAGGCTCTCAAGTGATAGTAATTACCAAAGCCACACACATAGGGTTCAGAGACTGCTTCCATCTTAGGTCTTTAGTATGTACTTAATTTTAATATGCAGAAAACTTCAGATTGTCTGCTAATGAAGGAAATCAAGGCCGGGGTTAAATAATGATGGAAAGATTAAGATTATCCACACACTGCTACCCACTTCTGTCTGACTTATCTTCATGGCAAAGCCGAACCAATCCTAGCCACTAACTAACCTGGGGTTGGGGTGGGAGTGGGGCCAGCAAGGCAGCAACTGACTTAGTTGCCTCACTCACCACACAGTCGTCGATGATTTCTGCCAGTCGTGTCCGGTGTTTCCGCCCTAACCGCATTATCTTCTTCCACGTATAGTAGTACTCCACGCACTGAGCCACCGTCTTCGACTTCACCTGTCAGGAGAGTGCGTTTGAGATGAGCTCCAGCAGTGGGCAAGCTTTTTTGAATATTTGGTTTTGTTCAGTCACTAATAGGCTTCTTCATTCAATAAACAATGAATACACCAAAAAGTGTCTCTCACACACCTGATCTCACTCCTCACCCCTGCAACTCTGGTAGCCCCTCCTAGTTTCTTGGGTACAATTCCAGAATTTTCTTTATGCAGGTTCCAATAAGTGCAAATCTGAATTCCTCCTTCCACACCTTTCCTGACAAGAGGTAGCAAACACACTGGAGGTTTTTTTTTTTTGCAACTTGATTGTTTTCACAATGACACCTGGAGAGTCTTAGAGATCGGTTCAGAGACTTTCCTTT